GAGTGTTGTAACTACGGTCGCAATACCCATTGTTGGTCTTATCTATCTTGGGTCTTGGAGGGGTAGAGATATAGATTAGCTATTTTTTGCACAAAGTAGCCGCTCTAAGACTCAAACCCATGTTCTCTCACACTTGTGAGCCTGAGGTTTTACCATCATATTCAGTAATGGTCCCTCAATTTAATATATGTTGGAAACAATACTGGAACCCCATTCTTATCTTAGCTAGTATTATCCTGTGGACAAGGATGGTGGGTCTAAGCTCGCTTGTCCTGATATTGTGCTTTAGATTAGATAGCCATAAAGATTAGGATACTGAAGTTGTATTTGGCATTCCTTATTTTAAGGACTTATTTCCTTTTTTTGTTCAAATGCTCCTGTAAATACCAAGTTTTTAACTACAAAAAGAAGATGAATCCTCATTTTAAGGAATACCAAATGCAGCCTAAGATTAATTACTTTGTTGGTTTTTGATATGAGGTGGGGTGTCGGTGGGAGAAGGTTCAAATTCAAAGAAAGGAAGAAAGAAAGGGGGAGCAATGGGAATGAATGTGAACATAAACAAAGCCCAGTACCCATCAAACAAGCTGTGGCTCTGATGGTTTCAGGCTTTCAGTTTCAGAGATACGAACTTTTTGAGTAAGGAACAAGAGAAGAGAAATAAATAGGAGAAAGAGAAATTTGGGGTGGAGGACCTGCAGGTGGGGGTACTGAGGAGAGGAGGGTCCCTCACTTGAATCAAAACGACCATCCCAACTCATTAAATGACATATCCAGCTTTTCATTCACTGAAAACGACTCACGCCCTACCCCCCTACTACTCTGTCTCCAGCTTCTTCTTCCTCAATAACTTGTATTAACTACTTAAAAAAAAAACTCCATAAATTCCATTCCCACAATCCCACCACACCCACTCAGCTACTCTCTACTCTCTCAGTCTACAAGTATATGCTATAAATACCCTAATTACTTTTTCTGCTCCATCAACTGATATGATGTCTATATTGTTAAATTTGATGGGAATATCTTTTAACATGATTATCATATCATCACTACCATCACCATGGTCATCATCACTGCCATATATATTTATAAGAATATATTTTAGGGACTTCAGGGAAATAAAATGAAAGCCTGACATGATTTATTCATCTGGGTAGTTCTAACCTTTGATTCTAAATTGGCTAATATTCCTTCCTCTCTTTCTTTTGGTGGAAAATGGAATACCGAGAAGCGAGATTATTGTTTATAACGAATGTATCGGTGCATATCGAATAATATGTATCAATCTTCAGATATATGAAATACTTTGAAGCCGACCTCATCAAGGGCATGTGTTACGCTGTTTACACGCTTTATCAAGTGTATCAATACTTTGAACCATGTTGAGAAGATCAAATGAAAATTGATCCTACTTGATAAAGCCTTTAAAGGGTTAGTATTTCATGTTTATAATTATAATAATTCCTAGTAGGTAGCCCCAATTTTTTACCATAGTTTATGCATTCAATTTTGTATGCTCCTATTGTTTTCATTGGTTAATTTAACAAACTATTTGACTGAATGAACCAGTTTTGAGTGTTCAGGAAACAAGAACACTCCATGAAATGTCCATTTATTTGGAAATTAGAGGCATTCAGTCCAGCTGGTCCTTTTGTCTGGTAGATCTCTTATGTGGGTCTACAATTAGTACAGTTTAGGCTGATAAGAGTTCCCACCAACTATGCCTCAGATGGACTAGGTGCTACCAACCTTATTAATAGTACAAGAACTGCTTAAATTTCTCCTTATTATTGTTTGTTGCTAAAGTTACCTGGAAGTACATGTTGATCCCATCAAAAAAACCCCAAGAACATGAAAATTAGGCTATTATTTGGGAGTGTTTATTGGAAGAATAAGTGCTTACAGGATAAATGTTTATTTTACTAATAAGTGTTTATGAGTATTTGGTGAAAAAAGTGCTTCTTTTGAAACAGGGTTAGTATGGGTATATTGAAAATTACATGGCAGGCTAAGACGGGCCAGAAAAAGATCACTTAAAAAAGAACCAAAGTTTGAACTCAATCCAAATGAGCTTATTACCTGAAAAAAAAAAAAAAGTGATTATTCAGGCCTATTTTCCTTAAGTGCTTATTGCTGTAGTCTTGGCCTAAAATAAGCACTCCCAAACAGGGGCTTAAGTTCCATTTGTGCTTTTCTATCAAATCAAACACAGCTAATAGATTTAGAGGATTGTTGAATAGAAAAAGGAAAAGAATGTAAGATGAACAAGTCCTCAACTCGGTCAAGGTGAAGCCCATAATTGAGGGAAGCAAAATTGAAATATTTTTTGTGGTTCAAGAACATATAGCCCAGCTGTCCAATACAAACCTAGATCACCTGTCATTGAAATGTCCCCAAAAGTTTGAAATCATGAGAAATCAACCATCCAAACTCTACCTAACTTCCATATTTTGAGATTTACTTTACAAAATTCACTGACAAGAAAGGCTAGTTTACTTTTTAGTCCCATAATCAATGAGAAAGCTTGTACCCACACAAGAATATAAATATTACATTATAATGTGTTATCCTATTCTTAGGGACACTATTTGTACCTTTAATGAGGATTTTTTTTTTTTTGCAATTATACAAGGAATTTTATTCAAGGCTCATAGTAAGGTTCAAAGTATCGATACATATCATGCCGGTGGTTTTATAAGGTATATCGGGGTTTTGACCAGTTCAGGGGATGGAGGAGCTCTAAACCGGCCCCCTAAATCGGTTTTGAAAAAAAAAAAAAAAAAAAAACATAAAACACACTATCAATATTGCCCGATAGCCCCCTACCAACATATCAGGCATATCGATATTTTGAACATTGGTTCAAAGTTTCTATATAACCGAAATGGATGAACAGGCATATCGGGTTTTTCAATACCACAAAATACCTTTTTATTTCTTTTAACTTCTTTTTTCTCAAAATTGGTCAGGGGGTCGGTTTTAGGCATGCCTATCCCTAAAAATGCCCAAAATCCTAAACCCCTCATATTTACACTATTAGGGTGTAGGGTGTATGTGCAAAATTTACCATTTAAATGATATATTTCTATGTATTTTTTATTGCAAATTCTATTGTACAGAACACATTTATCCAATGGTACCACAGAGTAAGCATTATAGGCTGTAAAGGTTGCACATGAGCCTGGTTCTGGGCCAGACCCAGGCTCATCCGGGTCAATAGATCAATTCATGATGTCATCAACATAAAATATTTAAAGATAAAATAATTCAAGAACCCAGCAGCATGTTGAGTGGGTCAGGCAGGTCAACTTCACCGAGTAGATAAATCATTGACCAATTCAATATATATATATATATATTTGGTTTTGTGAAATAGCAGGTTAGGGTTTGATCCGAATCATTATTGTGACCATGTCAGTGGTCCGACCGGCCGGGTCAATGAAAGTTGACAAATTAAAAGCACCGGCAAATGTTTCATACCAAATTGTAATGGGTTCTATAAGATAAACCCCAAACCGGACCAATTATTTATCGGGATAATCAGGACTGACCCGATTATATTTGACATATATAATCACGTATGATAATAACAACTTAGAACTTCATTTTTATAATATATAAGTATTTTTAACCAAAATTATCTTATATAGTGTCTATAAAATTCATCCTTTCATACATAAAGCAAAATATAATAGAAAATACAAAAAAAAATAACCAGAAGACCTCTATATATTATTAACTATATAATCAATTTGGAACAGTAAGAACCAGTCGTAAGGAACCAATTATTAATCAGAACACAGACCACAAAACCAGAACTGATATAATTTATTGTATAGACTCAACCCATTGATCACTGACAGCTCTAAACATTCACAGTTACAGCCTGAATAGTAAACCAATTCAGGACAGCCATGAGAGATATACAGAGAAGCAGATTTGCAAATTCAATGTATACATATTTTCAGGGAGGCAAAAGCAAGCTGTGGATTGGATAGCAAAGGTAGGTGATGAAAATCTGTACTTTACTAAATTTGATGAAATAGAATACTAAAAATTTTGAATAAAATAATAATATTAGGGAGGTACAAAGCAATTTCAGAAAAACAGACTCTCATCATGGCCATCATCACCCATGCCCAGAATGGGGCCATGACAACTCCCCTTTCTCCCCCTGTCGCCCCTCGTGCATGTAAAGAGAATGAAACCATACTCCATTAAATTGGAATTAAGAGTAATATATCATGTACTTGTTTCACACTAAAGCTTATCCAAAATACAGAAGAGAAGAGAACAGCCACACAACAATGAATTGAGGTCAGACTTGGACTGATTATAGAGTAGAACCCATTTTGGCTATTGGGTCATTCAATGGTTTGAATGGTTCAACCGTTCAATTAAAGTTTCAATATATATGAAAATGTGAAAGATTAATAACCTGATACTACACGTATCTTTGATCATAGCAATCAATATTCTTTTATAACCTGTCATTCCAAAAATTAATTAGGCCCCGTTTGATTCATAAGAATAAGGGTTTGGAATTGGAATCAAAATGGGTTATTCTGATTTCAACTGTTTGATTGGATAGATCATTCGAATCCCATTCTCATTAATTTTTATTAGAATGACACTCCCTTATTTGAATGAAATTCCATTCCAATTTATTATTATCTGAACTAGACTATGGGAATAGAACATTCCGATTTTAACTAGGAACCGAAGGGACCTTTAATCATTTTGGATGGCATTCCTGTATATATCAAACGGTCTGACCATCTCCGAGCTGATAACATTGAGTACGTAGAACCAAGGAAGAATTGTTATTTTCTTCTTTTAGGGATTGCTTCTTGGGCTTTCAAAAACAATAAGACGAAATTTTTATCTACTATTACTTAAGAACAAATATAATATTGAAGAAAACAATTTCTCTCTCTCTCTTTCTCTCTCTATTTATGTCATTGAAAACAACACATCCTACTAGTATCCATACGCACACGGCTAGTTCTACTTTCCACCCTTCGTAAGCTTGTTTCTTGTACCAGTAGTACTCGTTGGACTTCATAGCCGTAGTCATGAACAAAGGAGAGATTTTTGCTTCCATGGTTTTTGCTTTTCTTCTTCTGTCCGTGGGTTATTCAAGCAGTCATGAAGAAGAAGAAGCTGATCGGATAACAGCACTTCCGGGTCAGCCAAATGTCTCCTTTCAGCAGTTCTCCGGCTATGTCACCGTCGATCAAGTCGCCGGGAGGGCCCTATTTTATTGGCTCACTGAAGCAGTTCAGGACCCAGTCTCTAAACCTTTGGTTGTTTGGCTTAACGGAGGTCTGTCCTCTCTCTCTCTCTCTCTCTCTCTGATCTCTCTCGCATTGTCTGCGCATGAACGAGAGCTTACTTGGTTTTAACAAGTGGTTTCTTCATAACATGCAGTAAAAGAATTAAAGAACACTGGATGTTATCTGATCTTCTTCCACATTATAACTCCATGAACACGCATGGATTCTTTCACGTTGCCGACATTATAACAAATGATGGAGAAGAAAAAACAACAGAATTCTTTCAACCCTTTTTCGTTTTTTGTCATTAAATCACTTTTTATTCATTTTTATTTTATTATTTCAGATGTTAATTTTCATCATTGAACTCTCTTAGCTTGTTGGGTGGGTAGGTAAGCAGAAACTTGACTTTATTAACCCCATGGCTCTGATCTCCCTCCCTCTCTCTCTCTCTCTCTCTCTCTCTCTGATCAGAGTCTCAGGAAATTAACATAGAGACAGTACAAGAATTCAATGAGAGAAAGCAGCCCTAAATTTATTATGAGTTACAGTCATTACCAGATCTGTTAATTACCCGCCCTTTTTTTCTTTCTTTATCAGAGCATCCCCGGCCAGCACTCTGAGTTTAAGAAAACCAGGAAATAGCAGTGAGCAACGAGTTTGTGCAACGCTGAGAATACCTCGCTAACTCCACAGACAAGGTACTGTAAGGAGTAAGGTAGGACCAATCTGTCTTTTCACAGCGAGGCATCCAAGAGTTGCATAAACTCGTTGTTTCCTACCATTCCTTCATTGCAGCTGAAGCTCCAACTGGTCAAATTGGAGTACTGTAATTGGGGTCATGTTTCAAACTTGAAAAACTAACACGGTCCGGAAAACCAGGACCAGGTTCAGGTAGGCCTGCATCTCCTACATGATCCGAGATCAAACTGGGTCGAAATTAGGCACAGCAAAGAAAACCCGATGCAGATAGGAGTGCCGGGTCAAATAAAAACCCACTTTTCGTATTTGTAATTAGTTTGACTAATCTTCTCTGGGTCGTTTTCCTCAGGTCCTGGCTGTTCATCGGTGGCTTATGGTGCTTCAGAAGAGATAGGTCCATTCAGGTTAAACAGAAGCGGGTCGGGTTTATACATTAACAAGTTCTCATGGAACATTTTAGCAAACCTTCTGTTCCTTGAAACGCCGGCCGGCGTCGGGTTCTCTTACACCAACAGATCGTCGGACCTCCTCGACACCGGTGATCAGCGCACTGGTATGATCCCTGAACCCCTCCATTAATTTCCGTTTACTACGATTTAAAAGAAAGAAATCCGTATAAAGATCCAAAACCCTAGCTAAAGTTTGGACTGTACCGGTTGGTGGGACATTTTTCATGGCTTGTGGATAGGCTGTAAATGGATCGGGTAGACCCGAATTAAAATGCAACAATATTGGTCTGGTTCTACAATCTGCACCACGCATTCACGATTTCACGTGTCCCAATTATAAATGGGTCGGGGATTTTTTGGGCCTTTTCAAAATCTGGGCCTATATGGGCTATACAACCCATATGACGTCGGTGTTAATGGTGAACACTTGAGTTTTTATTCAATGTATTTCATATGATCTAATGAATGGATGTGATTCAGCTAAGGATTCACTAGAGTTCTTGATCCGATGGTTGGATCGGTTCCCACGTTACAAGAACCGGGAAGTCTACTTGACTGGAGAGAGCTACGCCGGGCACTACGTCCCACAATTGGCCAGAGAAATTATCAGATACAACACGAAGGCTATGCACCCAATTGATCTCAAAGGAATAATGGTGGGTCTCTCTCTCTCGTACATATCAATATCAAACAACTTTTCCAGCCTGTACTTGAACCGTCTGGTTGGACCAGTATAATCCGGTCATTTTTCAGGTATATTTCAAAATTTCACCCTTGAACCATTGATTTGGTCAATGACCAGGTTGGTTGAACAGTTAATAATTTGGACTAGTCAATGGAGTCAGTTGTTAGGTACTAATATTTATTTTTATGGTAAATTACTGAAACATCCTCTGAAGTTTTTGGCTTTGCTGAAAGCTCCTTGAAGGCTGATAGTTCCAATCATTTCCTCTTATTTTTTTTGACATAATTGCAATTAGACCCCTCTATTAGAATCCTCTATGAAGAAGAGCGAAAATGTATAAAATACCTATGCAGTTACTTTTGATCAAAATGTTTATTTTCCTAAGTTTTTCTTCATATCAATCACTACCCCAAGTCTCTCCAATTTATTTTTCGAAATTGATTTTTTTTTATAGAAACCAAAGGTCAAAAAAGAGCTACACACAACGGGTGGTAGCTTCGAAATTGATTTGTTTTCCAAATTTGCCCTTCATATCGATCTATCAAAAGGTAAACCTGTAACTTTAAATCTGTCTTTTGTTGTTCGTATAGTTTGTATTGTTTTTCTGTAGAAATCAGCCTCCATTTAGTAACTGCATGGGTGTTTTGGACATTTTCATGTCTCTTATTAGAGGATTTTAATAAAGGGGTTTACTTGCAACTATGTCAAAAGACTTAGTAGAGGTGATTGCAATTACCAAATTTTAGACAAGATTTCAATAGTGGTCAGAAACTTCAAAGGAGGTTTTAGAAATTTACCCTCATTTTTTATTTTTTGTATTTCTAGCCATTTTCTTCGGGGCTGTTTGACAAGTCTTAAAGTAGATATTTTAACAGCTCAACAGACCAAGAGATGTATCACCTTTCAGGGGCACAGGTCTTTCTGGATTTTCATGTTTTCTTGTAATATTTTTCACACTTAAATTTATTTAATATGATTAATATATAACATTAGGGACATACCCAACCTTTTTGTTTTGCAATTTTCTGTAATTTTTTTTATTTTTATAATTGTTTATTGATCATTTTATTACCTGTTTTATGACATCATGGGTTGACCCATTTGATCCATATGAAAGTCATTGACCCAAATCTGGACCAAAAACAATTTCGGGTCATTTTTTAAAACACTGGTTCGAAGAATAAAACATTAATAGTTATTAGTGGTTCGGCCAACTTTATGAATAACCAACCAGCTAATAAACCTCTTTGGTTTGCTGTCTAGATTCTAATTCAGTGTTCACACATCAATTTTTATTAGAATGAAATTGTTTCCAGGTTGGGAATGCAGTGACAGACAACTACTATGACAACCTGGGAACAGTAACCTACTGGTGGAGCCACACCATGATTTCTGATAGAACTTACAGGCAGCTCCTGAGTACCTGTGACTTCCATGGCCAAAAGGAATCAAAAGAATGTGAATCACTATATGCATATGCCATGGATCAAGAATTTGGCAACATTGATCAGTACAACATATATGCTCCACCTTGCAACAATTCAGATGGCACTGGTTTTACACGTAGGATGCTGCGTTTGCCACATCGGCCATACCCGGTAATATTTTTAAAATACATTTATAATTGCAATAATATTAAATATTCGAAGCTCGGCCGGTTTTGTCAGACATGGATCGGTAGTAAAACCGGTAAGCTCGCCAAGCCACCGGTTCAACCATCCGGTCTGATCTGGATCTCACAAGACTGAGCCTAGTCCCACTTTGTGCTAACATTGGAAAAGATTATGATGCACTCTTGTTTTGTTTTTGGTTTTTGTAGGTTTTCTGGCAGTTTTCTGGTTATGACCCATGTACAGAAAAATATGCTGAGGTTTACTACAACAGACCAGATGTGCAGAAAGCCCTCCATGCCAACACAACCCAAATCCCTTATAAATGGACTGCTTGCAGGTGATTAGACAGTTTAATTTCTTTTCCCTTTTTTATTTTAAATCTGCTTCCACTGCTTTCAGAACCAAACATGAGTCAAAAAGTTAAGTTGCTTCTAAAAACACAATAAACTGAAAAGCAAAAACACTTTTAAAGCCCCCTAAGCACAAATCCTAAAATTGGGGCTTTGTGCTTTTGGGATTTAGAAGCACAAATCCTGTAACTTATTGTAACCAGTTCACAACTAATCAACTATGTTTTTTCTATTTCAATTGAGGGTGGTATATACCTGTTAGAGAACAAAAACCTATTATTTAACAGCTTAAGCTTTTAGGTTGAACAGTACCTTCACATGGTATAAGTGCTTGTTTAGTCAAGTGGTCTTACTTAAATTTCAGCAAGCCCAACAGGCTTTCCTGTGAGGAGACATGTCAGAGAATAAAAACTATTTGAGCTATAACTAACAAAGTTGGTGCTGTTTAATACTTTCATTACAGTGAAACTTTGAACCAGAATTGGAATGACACAGAAGCATCAATTCTTCCCATTTACAAAGAAACTATTGCTGCTGGTTTGAGGATCTGGGTGTTCAGGTTTGTGCCTTATGCATGCTAGTACTAGCTTCTCAATCTTTCTACTCAATTCAGTCCCCCAATAACTGTTTCTTCTTAAACTGTTTATTGCAGTGGCGATGTCGATTCAGTCGTTCCGGTTACAGCCACCAGGTTTTCGCTTGCACACCTCAATTTATCTATCGAAATTCCATGGTATCCATGGTATGTAAAGAAACAGGTCAGTATTCAGTAACTCTACTCATACTTTTGTTCACTACTTCACTCTTCATCCCTGCTATCAGCAATCCAATCTAAAATCATCTAACTTATGCTCCTCCATTTTTGCTTTCTGCCCATGAAACACGATCTCCTTATTGATTGTTAAGGGGTGCAAATTGGGTGCCTAATTTGAAGAAAGGGCCCTTCAGCAAGGTTCCTTCAAAATGTAACAAATGCTCAACACAAGCCTGCCCAAGTTGCACTCCAAGTTAAGATCAGAGAGGTCAGAACTGAGGGTAATGCCCTAATTCAGTAATGAGAAATTGATGTTTTGGTTGTGAATTTTGAAGGTGGGAGGATGGACAGAAGTTTATGAAGGGCTAACATTTGCAACAGTAAGAGGGGCAGGTCATGAAGTACCACTTTTTAAGCCTAGAGCAGCTCTTCAACTCTTCAAATCATTTTTAAGGGGGAAGAATCTACCAAGATCATGAAAACACAATTATATATTCTTCTTTATTTTCATTAGTCTAGACAAAAAAAAATACCATTTATAATTTACAAGGAAAAGCAAGTTTGGAGAGAGAGAGAGAGATTGTGATAAAGGAAACAAAATGAAATCAAGATGGTTTCCTCTGTAACTTATATTTGATTTGGATGGCCAATGTGAGGAAATAAGAAAATGGTCTTGATTTTCTCTCTACTTCTGTTTTTTCTGTTTTTGTTATGGCATCTTAATTGACCAACTGCTTTATAACTCACAAGGGTAATTTTTCATCAAGAAGAAAACCCTAATGCTGGACCTTACAGCATTCTGTTGGACTTGGATGGTGAGAAACTGGGAATCCAACTGCTTTATAACTGACAAGGGTCATTTTTCATCAAGAAGAAAACCCTAATGCTAGATCTTACAGCATTCTGTTGGATTTGGATGGTGAGAAACTGGGAATCCACAGAAGATCATATTGGCTTCTCATAATCAACCATCAAATTGAATTTGTGATACTCCAAGGTGGAACAGGAAAAGCTCTGTTTACTTTCTTCCTTTTTTTTTTTTCCTTTTGGGGACAGGGAGAATTGAGATTGTGACAGAAGTGAGTTAAAAATGATCCACAGACCACAGATGATGGCACCAAAAGGCTCCACAGGTTTGCCAATTAATTACCATGTCATCCCTTCCTCATGCAATAAATCTCAGACCAGATGATCCACCAGAGTGAGAATCTGGGTTGGAACAATTAACAGTTTAACTCATGAGTGGCCCCTCCAAAGAATTGCCTATCTAATGGACAATCTGAATTGACCATTTCATGCATCCACTGACTGAACATTTCAGATTCTAAATTTTTTAATGATTTCTACATTAATTCTTTTCCTTCTTGGATCATCATGTCTCCTGTTTTTCTTATGTAACATTAAGGCCCACTCCTGAAAATTAAAACAGACAACTTAAAACCAGGTTTGTGGTTTCCTCAGCTTTTAGATTGTAAAAATAATGAAAACCCATTACTTATTTCTAGAAATAAAATACCTAAATTGTTTGAGGTATTTGTGGTATTACTCATGATGAATGGGAGACATTTCAGCTTACCAATTCTGATGGCTCTTTGTATTTTAATGTTCATTTTTGCTTTGTAAATGGTAATAAACTGGACCCAAGTGAAGTAACTACTTGATCACAGAATATCTTGGGCTCATTGTATCCTCTTTCATATTTAATGCGCTTTTGAAAGTTAATGTATAAAAACATTTTATTATCAAGAACTGAACTCAACGCTCACATGGCAACTGACAAATAAGAACCTTATCACTACACCACACCACACCACAACCATGTTTAAATGCCTTAGGTTTAATTTTAACTTTTTTTAAGCCAAACAAGGTCGCCCAAGTTGCTCCAGGTCAAAATTGTGGGTCATATACTCATATCCTATCTTACTATAGTGATCAATTGATGAGAGAGAGAGAGAGTAAATTAAAGTCAAGATGGTTTCGTATGTAACTTATATTTAATTTGGATGGCCAATGTAGAGAAATCATTGTCATCATCACCACCTAAGCCTAAGCCTAAGCCTTGTGGGAATTATATATGACTTTTTAATTAGTCAAGGTGAGGAGGGTACAGGAAGGTGAAATGCCCGTAGTATTACTTGTCTCTTGTTATGACATATAAATTGACTAACTGCTTTATCGTAATCCACAAGTCACAAGGGTCAAGCGTTTTGTTAAGAGGTGCAAACAATGTTTTGAAAAACGATCCAGAATCGGAATCATTTTAACCATTGGTTTTTTTGTTAATAGTTTGATTGTTCAATTTGAACGATGGCCTGTTTTGATAAAAATAATTAAAATAAAAATGGCCAAAACCGTTGAACGGATTAAATAAGTTAGAGATTCGATCACCTGGGTTAATGGGTTATTGATCAATTTAATGGTTTTTTACCAAAGATCAGGTTTGAAGCAAAACGAAACCAGTTGATTGGATGATCCCCTAGCTGAATGGTCTGACCATCCGAAAACATTGATACAAACCTTAAATCGAGACAAATTTGTACTCCAGCTTGTTTTTTAAACATTTTTACATTTAAAATAAAATGGGAGTAAAAAAGATAAAAGTAAACTTCAAATGTAATATAGGTAGATTTGAGTATTAAAATTTGTATTTATACCCATCACAACTAAACATAATACAAAATTTATCGATACAAAACCTAACGAAATTTACATTCTTACTGTTTGACTACATTTGCATTTACATCAAGTCATCCATACATATGCTTTTTGCACTTTTACCAAGCATAGACATATATTTAACTTGGATGGTCAATATGAAGAAATCATCTTCATCATCGACAACATCATCAATCATCGTCATTTAAACCTTGTCCCAACCATTTATGAATCTTGTTCCACCATTCTATTCAATATGAGGGAATGGAATATAAAGTGAAATGTTGGTGGTTTTGATTTTCTCTCTACTTTATGTTGTTAGTGGCGAATAAATTGACTAACTGCTTTATCATACCAAAGAGAAGACTTTTGCTGTCCACGTTCGACAGCAAAGAGTTCACCTAACCACCCAACCGTATCATGGTTTTTGAATTACTGTTGATCTGGACGTTTGGACTGTTTGGCCCGGTAATCATTTAGGCAATCGGTTTTGTTTTATTTCAAACTTAATCTTTGGTAAAAGATCGTTGAATTGACAAACGATTTATTGACTTGGGCGATCGAATCATGATTAATTTCTGGGTTGTTTTTTAAAACCATGATCCGCACGGATATATATCATTTGAAGATAGCCTTATTGATAGCCCAACCCGTCAATTTGGACAGCCAAAATTTTCTTGACTACTGGTGTGTGGCTATATAACATACCAATTTCATCAAGAAGAAAAAGAAAACATAATGTGGTGAAATGGATCTTAAATAGACCTGGCAATTGGGTTGGGTGGGTAAGGTTCAGGTTGGGTCAAGGTACTTTGGGCTGATTTCGGGTCGGTTTTAGTTTCATGTTGGGTTGTCAAATGCTAAACCCTAACCCTAAATGTTTGGGTTAGGATTGACCCATTGGTCAATTCGGGTCATCCCAAAAAATAAAGAAAAATTACATGAAAAATGTCAAAATTAAAAGAATTAACTTTAAAATTCCAAATATAAAATAAAAAACTCAAATATTTAATAATTTAAAGAGAACAATAAAAAGTAAAGACTAAATAAAAAAATTTAAAGAGTGAAAACTTCTAACAATGCATAAATAATCCCAATTAGACTTGACAATCAGGTCAGCGGGTTGACCCATGACCCAACCCAACCCAATCCAATTTTTTTGGGTCGGGTCATTTTCACATTCAGGTAACTAGATATGAGACCCTAATCCTATTTTTTTGGGTTGGGTTCGCGGGTTGGGTCAACTTTTTGCCAAGTCTAGTCTTAAAGCATTCTATTAGATGGTCAAAAGAAGGCCATTATCCAATATTGGTCCCAGCTATATGGGGCGTTGGAAGGATTAGATTGGATGTGATCTAATCTTTGACTTTCCTTTTGCATAAAGTAATTGGTCTCAGACTTGAACCTGTGTTTTCATGCTTGTCAACCCAAGATTTAACCATGGCACCCAAGTAAAAATCCACGAAAAAAAAACTACCAATCCTCTCTCTCTCTCTCTCTTTAATTTCTTTGAACCCTTTTTACTATCCGATAAGGCAGGGGTACAAATTAGATGCGTTGATTGGGTTAAGGGCCAAACTTTAAGGATGTATTTAGTTTGAAACAATGTTTTAAAAACCCACCTGAAATTAGAATAGCTTTGGCCACCAATTGGACCATCCCGTTTGAATGGATGGCCCATTCCAAATATAAAAAATAATTAAAATAAAAAATGACTAAAAATCATTGTCTAGGTCAAATGGATCAATAGTTCAATTGTTCGGATTAACATGTCATTAACCAAGTCAATATTTTTTGACTAAAAAACGGATTAAGAGTAAAACGAAACCAGTTGCATGAATGAATTTTGGGCCAAACGGTCCAACCATCCAAGTCAATGCCGATTCAAAAGCATTGATTTGAAAGAAAAGGCAAAGGTAGGAAAGCATATACAACATCTTTTCTTTTAAACCAAAAATATATAACCTAATATCAAAACCCAAATTTATCAACCCATTTGCTTTAGTATGACTTATAAATAGCAGAAAAGGTGTCCACATGTTTTCCAATTGCCACACGTCCCTTCCACATAGGTCAGTTGTTCCCACATCGAGAAAATGTCTCTTTTCTAAGCACCCCATCAGGTATACTTTGGAAATCAGCACTTCCAAGGAAAAGTGTCCAATATATGGTGGACCATGGTGAATATTTGGGTTAGGACACTTGTCACAAGACCCCTCCCAAAAAAGATTTCTGAATTGACCATTACAGTCATCCACTGACTCAACACCCTATACTGGGCTGGAGGAATCTTGACCAACATTTCCTGATATTAAATTCTTTAGTGCTTTCCATATTAATTCTATTTCCTCATAGGGTCATGAGACAGATTGATGCTTTTACCTTGATAATAGAGTGGGCTGTATATCTCCGGTATTCAATCAAACAAAGGATTTCAACATTGGCAAGAATTCACTTTGGTGTTCTTTCCTTCTGATCCAAACCCTAGAAAAATCAAAATCAACATTTTCATACAAACATTGGCAAGGGTGGGTGGGAGAGAATCCCCTCAGATTTCAAGATCATTTCACAATCAACACACATCAAACTGTTGGGTTTCAAAGGTCAACAATATTTGCTGAAATTGAAACGGCATCTCTCTTTGACAGATGTGTCCATCCAGTGTTGGAATTTAAAGATTTCGTGGTTTATAAGTTTTCCAAACCAGGGTTATAGATGGTTGAATTTTTGGCAAGGCCAAAAAAAATCGTTCACTAGGGATGCAAATGGATTGAATGGGATTTGAATTAGCGTAAATTTATCCAATCTAATGATACAAAACCTAAATCCAATTCGAGATCTTATGGGATCACACAAATGACAATTTAAATCCAAACCATGTCGGATATCCGAATATGATCTTATCCCATTTAATTTATAAAAATTTTAATAAATTATTAAAAGAAAAAATACATAACAGTTTATATAAAAAATAAATATTTTTCAATTATTTTCATCATATATATTAACATATACATGTTTTTTTATAAAAAATTATAAACATATATATATATATAATATTTATAAATAGATTATTATAAATATAATATATGCATATATTTATAAATATAATAATATATATTTATATATAATATATAAAAAATATGTGACATATTAAAATATACATAAATCCATCAAAAACCAAACACCAAACTGAATCGATCAATTCGATTAATCGCATTTTTCGAGAGAGAGAGAGACTCTTCACATGAGGGGGCTTTACTTGATTACTTCTGTAGTTCTGTATCATCAGAAATGGATAATGGATGTTTTTGGCAGGTCATGGGCCATGGCCCATCGTGTGATGGATGCCCTGTAGAACAGCAGCATCTGTTCCTAGAACAGAAGATTCCATATTTCCACCTACTAAACTTCTCTCATGTACAGCTGTACTCTGACAGTCTGACGTTGGGCTGGAGACCGGAGAGAAACCCATTTCCGGAGCCCAGCCCAAAGGATGCAATGTACGTCACGTCGTACGATAAAGAGTGACTTTTTTCTGAAAATCTGTATATGTAATAAGGATATTTTAGTAAATATACACACGACGAAAGAATCTCATGAAAAGGCGATTTCTATTAAAAAGAAGGGGCGAATAAGGAAAATGGCAATTTCGTTATTTGTGTCACAAAATGGGGAACGTTTCGGAAACCGAAAGTGTCCGTCAAGACCAGTAAGTCAAAATTCATGATGGAGATGAGAAAGAAGCGGACGCAGAAATATCCAAAAGTAGTTGGAGGGGATCGGCCATGGAAGTTGCTTAGAAAAGCTTCGCATAATTTCCCGGAAGGAAGTAGAAGCAGCCTCAGGTTCAGCTCAATCTCTCTCTAATCCTATATTCTTAAGATTTTAGCTTCTTCCTTTTTTACTCTTTGATGTCTGTTTGCTGAACCCGACCATCAACGTCCAGAAACCCTAGTACAGTTTTTTTCCCATTCCGTAAAACATGGTCTTGATTGCGGAAATCTAGGGACTCGTTTGTGTCATCGAGATCTTGTATTTTTCACAGAATCTGATCGATAAACGCCAAGTACACCTAAACCCTTCTGTCTCCTGGTCTCTACTTTGTGTCAGTTATTTTCTAGTTCGGAATTGAGCTAGAGGTCTGTGTTTGAGTAGGTTCGCAAGTTAAATTTCTTCATCTGATAGTTCGTTTCTTAGGTTCAGTATGTTTGGCATGGTGCAGACTGTCTAATTGGGTGTATATAGAAGGCAACCGTCATTTTTTTTTCTGTAATTTGTGATTCATGGATGATGGAATCTCATCCAGTTAATTTTTTATCAAATCGATCACAAACTTATTCGGGTATATACAAAAAGCCTAGAAAAATTGGTCCTTTCATGCATCGAAAACCAATTGAGTATATATTTCTTTCAAATTCTCTGATCCTTTCGTGAGCTTATAATAGTAGCTTAGAGAAGGCTGGTATTGCTACTGGCTTCTTGGTTCCAAAATCCCCATGTCTCTCTCAGCCCCTTTCTCTAATCTGTTGTTACAATTTTCAGGGATTTGAGATTGGGGGGAGGATCTTAAAAGCTTTCTGCTGCTGTTCCCAGTTTGAGTAGTATGGATTGACAATCTTTTACATCCTTCCTGTTACTAATCCGTGTCAATTTGCAATCTCTTTTCCAGGCCACCTTCATTTTTCCTATTGTATTTCCATTTTCATTCTAGTTTATGGAATAGGGAATTCTTTGTACTGTCTCTGCCATACCAGCAAGTGCTTTGGTCATAGAAGTGTTTCAGGTTTTGGCCAAACTTGTAGGTCTTGTTCCTCTTTCTTTTCTTTTCTGTTTTTTGGGAAATTTGGTTTCTAGTTTGAGTTTTGTGTCTCTTGCTGCTGTAGTCAGTTTATGATATGGCAGAATGCAAATCTTTGATCCCAGCCATAGAAGGAGAAGAGCATGTGATAGCTGCAGCGCAACACATAGTAAGGGCATTAGGAACAAGCAAGAACTTGACAGATGGCATGAGAAAAATCCTGACAGATCTTGACACCCAGTTGTCCAGCATGACTGTGCTTACTTCAAGCAAGAAGGGGGAAATAAGAGAGATTGAAGAACGCCTCAATTCTTTTCAGGAGAAGATCACAAGATGGGAATCTGATCAATCTATGATATGGGAAACGAGCCCAGAGGAAGCGTCTGAGTATCTAAAGGCCGTTGATGAAGTAAGAAGTTTAGCAGAAAGCTTAGGAAGCATGCCTTCAAATGAGGATGCAGAAGTTAACAAGATCTTATGTCAGGCCCACAGTGTCCTTCAGATGGCAATGGTGAGGCTCGAGGATGAATTTGTCCATATTCTTGTTTACAACAGGCAACCCTTTGAACCTGAACATATGTCCTTCCGCTCTTGTGAGGAAGATATTGTGGATGAGGAATCAACCATCTCAGTTGAGGACGACCCAGGTGAGGATTCCCTTCGAAGAGATAGTTGTAGCAAAGGTGCAGAAGAATTCATCATAGATTTGGTCCATCCAGATGTAATTCCTGACCTCAAGTGCATTGCAAATGCAATGTTCATGTCAAATTTTGATCAAGAATGTTGCCAGGCTTATATTAGCATTCGCAAAGAGGCCTTGGATGAGTGCTTATTCATTCTTGAAGTGGAGAAACTGAGCATCGAGGACGTGTTGAAGATGGAATGGAGTGGTTTGAATTGTGATATCAAGAAGTGGATCCGTGCTTTGAAGATATTCTTCCGAGTGTATCTTGCCAGTGAGAGACGGCTCTGTGACCAGATCTTTGGTGAGTTTGGATCAGTTAGTCCAACTTGTTTTGTGGAGGCATCAAAGGCTTCAATTATGCAGCTCTTGAATTTTGGTGAAGCTATAGCAATTGGATCTCGCCAGCCAGAAAAGTTGTTTCGGCTACTTGACATGTATGAAGTGTTGGCAGAACTTCTCCCAGATGTAGATGCTTTGTTCTCGGATTGCACTGGTTCTTGTGTTGAATTTGAATGCCGTGAGGTCCTAAAGAGATTGGGTGATTCTATTAGGGGAACTTTTATGGAATTTGAAAATGCTGTTGGATCAAACACATCCACGAATCCATTTGCTGGAGGAGGGATCCATCCTATGACCAGGTATGTCATGAATTATATCAAGACCTTGACTGATTACAGTGATACTCTTAATTTGGTCCTTGATGACAATGATGGGTTGGATCTAGCATCATCGTTGCACAGTGCAATTCCAGTTATAGAAGAGGAGAAAGAGGCTGAAAGCTCTTCTTACAGTGCCTCTCCAATGGCTCACCATCTTCAATCTGTCACTTCAATTCTGGAAACCAATCTTGATGGTAAATCCAAGTTGTATAAGGATGTATCTTTGCAACACTTCTTCTTAATGAACAACATCTGTTACATGGTTCAAAAGGTTAAGGACTCTGAACTTGGGACCTTTTTTGGGGACAACTGGGTCAGACAGCACAATTGGAAATTCCGGCAGCATGCAATGAACTATGAGAGAGCTGCATGGAGTTCTGTACTCTCTTTACTCAAAGATGAGGGGATCTGTAATCCAGGTTCAAGCTCTGTCTCGAAAACACTTCTCAAAGAGAGGTTTAGGAACTTCAATCTCGCATTCGAGGAGGTTTACAAGAACCAGACGGGGTGGGTGATCCCAGATCCCCAGCTTCGAGATGATTTACGGATCTCGTTATCACTGAAAGTGATCCAGGCATACAGAACATTCATGGGAAGACATGCCAGTCATCTGGATGGTGGGCGACAAAGTGACAAGTATATCAAGTACAGTGCAGATGATCTGCAGAATTACCTCTTGGATCTCTTTGAGGGTTCACCAAGATCATTGCACAACCCACGCAGGAAGTAAAACCTGTTAATGTTGATTTTTTGCATTTCCTTTTCTTGTACCTGTATGATTAGATTTTTCTTAGTGTTCATGTCCAATAAATAACCTGGACATGAGTTTGTTGTTTTTTTATATATATTTTTCATCATCATACAAGTTCATAGACTCTCGTGAAAAATATGGTCGTTGTAAAATTCCTTTGTACTTTTCTTTTTGCAATGTATAAATTGGGGATATAGGCATTATTTATTTAAGCCTGCTTTTTTGTCCATTGGATGAGATAACTCTGTGCCTTTACGTAGCAAATGTTCAAGTTGTGCCTTCTCTTATAGATTCTCTAATTCTTACCTTCAAAACATGATTGATGAAATTCTTAGTTTTGAGCAAGGTTTTTAAAACCGACCCGGAGAATGAACCGGTCAGGGGTCCAGTTCCCGTGTCGAGCGGTCCTGTTCTGACAAAAAAATAAAAATTTTTAAGTCAGAACCATTCAAACGGTTAACCACCTGGGTCAGTGGTTTGCTGACCAAAATCAGCGGTTTTTGTGAAAAATCCGGTTTTCTGGAAAAACGGAACCGGTCACCTCCTGGTTTTTTCAGTCCGATCGTTCGGTCCAGTCTGGTTTTGAAAACCATGGTTTTGAGCTTAACCAGGAGTCAAGAAGATAAATAGAATAAAAAGGACCCATTAAGGGAACAAGAGCTTAAGCTATATGTCCAATTCTTCTCTTCCCCAAGTTGACCAAGCAAAATCAAACCAAGAGACAGAATTGGTTGGTATTTACCAGACTTCAACCTGGGTTTTGATGAAAGTTCTTACGTTCCCGTTTACACTAAACAATGGGTCAATGACTGAACAGTCCATCCATCAAGTGGTAATATTTCTGAAATTGGACCATTGAACAGGCCCAAACAATGCTCCTAACGAACCTCGTATAATTATTAACCCTGATATAGAATTATAGATACATCTAAGAGAGAGAGAGAGAGAGAGTCCCCTTTCTGGTCACTCATTATTTAATTGTTATTATTATGGTGGGCTAGGACCAGTTAGCAGCTGACTGAAATGGTTGAACTCTGTGTCTCTTAGTGAATGAGCAATTGTGGTGGGCCATTTTTATTGTTTTGCTTGGTTGTTTGTTAGTGACTATTTCACACCATACCTAAACGTTTCTAATTTTTCCATTAAAAGACAAATCGTTAAGCAAATAAGCAATTCAGCCATTATCAAGCTTCCTCTTGTAAGTCCTTAATTAACCTTTTCTCCTTTCTTAATTCTACAACAAATTTGAAGGGGGTTAAATTTGGCTCAGTGCGTCAGCTTAGCGATGTAAATGTAACAGATGCAAAAAGAACATAGTCGGTTGCTGTCATTGCCTGCCTCAATCAGACAGATGAATAGGTCAATACACAAAATGATTCATGCATCATCCATAAATGTATGTGAGTCCGGGTGGGGGTTCTATTTCATTGTAGGCCTACAGAGAGTGACAAGTCAAGTGAAACCAACCGCCTATAAATTATGGGCTCATTTGGTTTGTGGTAATAGAGGTGTGAATTCTAATTATTTGGTTGGGTGGAATCAGAATCTCATTTCTATTATTGGTGGAATGACATTTCTCCATTTGAGGAAATTGGTTATTTCCTCCCCCGCTTTTAAGAATAAAATTCCGTTTCAGCTAATTTCAATTCTTGCCTGAACCAAACAGACTATAAGAATAGATTATTCTGATTTCGATTCCTATTTCAATTGCAAACCAACTGGACCTTATGTTTTACTAGGCTAATAAGTAATTACTTATCCTGAAAATAGAGTTATTTAATCTAATTCTTTTTAGTTGGATCGATAATTTGATATACATTTACTTGAAATCAGATCTGAAAGTATGATGGTTTATTTAATTAAATTCAAATATTGATTAATCTGATCCAACTATATATATATATATATATATATATATATAAAATGTTTTTTTATTGACATTTGTAAGTATATGTTGTTCACTATGACTGCGATGGCAATGAAGATATCAAACCAAAGCCACAGAAACACCCATGGCGACACACAAACCACTGAGGACCTGTGATAAGTTCAAAGTCACCATGAACCTGCAATGATCTCAAAACCATCATGAACCTGCAATGAGTTCGAAGCCACCACGAACCGGTAATGAACGAAAAATACTATCAACCAAAGTCGTTCATAATAAGACATCCAATAGGATTAAATAGGACATATCAGACATGTCTTGATGCCACCCACGCCATGTCAATATAGGAAACCTACAAAAGGAAGTAGCACACGTGTACTATGAAAACCCTCAAACGAAAGGAAACTTCATCCTGGAGAGATCTCATGAGACATGTGATGAACCCTTAGTAGTGTCCCCCTGACAAGTGACACCAAATCAAAGATCTCCTTTCCAAATAGGAGTCAAATCCTTTTGACTCCTTCCCTTCAGGGCCTCGAGATCACTCCTTATAAAAGGAGGCATGAACCATAATTAACACACGACTGTGTCGATAGAAATTTGTAGCTTATCCTTACTCCTAGCCTTCATTCGTCCTTCAAAGAGACCACCACACTTAGCCTTACCACACCACTTATAACACTTTTTAGAATTTTATTAGATTTAATATTTTATTTTAGATCTCACTAGAAGAGACCCATGTGATGCACATCTTGGTGTTGGTGTTAAAAAGATGCATATGTTACATTTAGTTTCTTAATTGAATTGGTTGTGGGTGCGCTTAAACAACCCCATATTTAAGTTTATATTTTTTTTTAATTCATAAAAAACACAAATTTCTAAAAGAATTATAAAGAAACGTGAGGAGTTTGATATGGACAACTGCATTTTAAAATACAGTATAAATTTTATATAGATTTATTGATATTTTAATCAAATTGGATATATATACAGAGCACACATCCGATTTGGGTATACCCTACCTCGGTATTTTTATTTGGCTTGGAAAGTAGATTAGGGTGCATACTATCCACTTTTTTTTTATGATTAAATTTGAATTAGAAAACAACATGTGCTTAGAAGAAAAGAAAAAGAATGTAGTAGGCAGACATAGGTTAAGGCTCACAATATAAAATATGGGAGGGAAGCGTGCTTATGTATGTATGTATATCATGTTGTTTCACACTCATCTCACATGACCACAAATGAAAACTAATTCAGTTTCTCACTGAAAATAAAAAAGTGGCTTCCAAGACAATTATATTGATGTAGGTTTCATTCTAGGCAGGACATAGGAGTGCAAGTTGGGCATCTCTGATTTGAATATTTATCCCAACTAGGGTGCAAGTCAGGTCAAGTTGGGGTCAGGTTGAAGTTAACCTTACTACACCTCGACCTGAGGTTCTAAACGAGTTCAAATCTACCTCCACAGAATGCGCTCCAAAAATGTCTCACAGTATATCCCAATTGTGTATTTGAAACATCTTCTAATGATAAGTATAGAAATTGTTCTCAATGCATGTTGAAGTGTGCATGTGGGACGTTTTTAGGGCATATTCTGTGGGGGGCAGATGTGAACTCGTTCTAAACTCCCTACCCTAACCTTAACTCAACCCAACTTTCAAATTAACCTAGTCAATCCTAACCCTAACCCTAACCTAACCTAAAATTCCTCAACCCTAATCCAACCCAACCTACATTTAACTTCAACCTGACCTTTCTACAATCTTCTCAAAATTTCATTGATCTGCGGCTAAGAGACCTACGTTGAACTTTTATGACCATATACTAATCATATTTTTATCAGTATTACGGTTAGAGTCTAGTATGAATTATAATAGATCTTTTATTTAGAATCTAAAATCATGAAACTAGTAATAATAAAACTTAAAACTTATAGAATGAAAACTCGGCAACTTATCATTAAGAAGATTAGGGCTTAAGAGTTAAAACAATTTGATATGATTGTATGTAATGGGAGTTTAATACATGTGTGGAGAGTTGGGTTTGGGTTGGGTTGTACTGTAGTCTTGTAGAGGTGGTCAACCCTAACCCAACCCGAAGTAAAATTGGATTGGCAAAATTCAACCCTAACCCTAACAAACAACAAGCTCAACCTTCCTAAGGAATTTTATAAAATATATTAAGAAATTTTGCTCAACTTTCTGTTTGTATCTTATTTATTGTCAAATCAAGCATAGCTTAAATGTTTCAAAACTTGCCAAGTGTAAAATTGACAGTTCAATGACGTTCACGCAATGCATGGTGAGGTATAGGGCTAATTAGGGGTGTAAATGGATCGAATTCGAATCAGATCAGGCAATATCCGAATTCGAATCCAATTAGAAAATTCGATTCGATATTCGACAAATATTGAAAATGAATATCCGAATTCAAATCCGATTAAATATTCGAATATTTGATTCGATTAATTAATTATTTTATATAATTAATAAATATATAAAACAAATATTTTATTGATATAAGATATATAAATATATAAATTATTTATATAACTTAATTATTATATATAAATTATATAAAATATTTTATATATTATATATAAGAATTAAATAATTGACCAAATTTAGATATTTATCAAATTGAATCAGGTTATATCCGAATTCAAATCCAATTAACTATTCAAGAATTTGACCAATTAAATATTTGAATTATCTGAATTTGATTCAATTATATCAAATATCAAATTCAAAATCAGATTTTTAAATAGCGTTGACACGCCTAGAGCTAATGTTGACTGGGACACTTAAGACGAGACGAGGAGAATCCTCTACTTATGAATAGCTTGATTGGGACGCAACATCCCCGCTGAGTAGCTGACTTGACTACTAAAACTGACGATAAAGTTTTAAGATTTAACTTTATAAAAGTGGTCAGATTTCTTTCATACTTTTTTTTCTTTTTTATTTCTCAGGAACAAAATAGGACCGAGTATGAGAGAAATGACTAGAGCGGGTTTATGGGTCCTTATTGTGAAACCCAGAAATTTCAGTTTTAATGGTTTCTTTGAGTTATGTTTCTCAAAATGAAGTCAGGGATTTAATTAAATCACCAACCCCAGTATCTTTGGACAGTGGTTACTGGTTACAACTACAAGCTCGTGGACTGGGTAAGGCATTCAATTAAAGGCCATGGAACAAATGGGTCCTTTAATGGGCCCTATCCGGACTAAAAGGAACCTTAAGTGTTAAATATGGCCCATGAATTAAACTGTATCACATCAGTATTTTATTTTAAGAAATATTCAGGCATTGGGGAGAAATATGAATTTGACGTTTTCCCATATGCCCTACGCATATAAATTAAAGCATCTCGATTTTTTAGTATTTATTTGATAAATAATAAAATCGAGTAGTGATTTCATATACTAAACACCAATGCTTATGCAATGCTGATGTGGTAGCGTTTTTTCAATAAATATCACAAAACCAAACATATATTCAATGGGCATTTAAATCACTCAATGCAGAAGTGTTATTCTTCTACACGGGGTACCCTTTGTTAACACTAGTTGATCGGCAAGAGAGAAAGGTGAGAGAGCTGAGAGGACATAAGTGGATTAAACTGTTTTCAGTTTAATGGGCCTGGGCCTGGGCCAGTTTGAGAGGACTTCAGTTTTGATTGAATTGTTTTCACTGAATGACTTTGAATAGACTACGAAAACAAGTTTCATGGGAAAGTCAACTTCTTGGCTAAATGAAATCGCATATTTGGGTTTCCAAGTTTTTCACCAAACATAACTTCTAGGCTCTTGGAGTGAGGCCCATCTTGCAAAACAAGAAACTGTTGCATAAAAGCTCTCCCACACAAGAATTATCATCATCATCATCATATTATGGGGTCGGCTGCATGTAAGGGTGTCAATGGACTGATTTTGGATCAGACCCTGTCCAGTCCAAAATCAATTTGGACGGATTGGATGGACCAATCAACTAGTGTTAAACCAATCCAATCCAATCCAAAATATTTATTAGATTGGATTGGACCTGGTCCATCTGTAATAAATTTATATTGAATTCAGTTGAATTAAGCCAATATCTGATCCATTGATCTAAGATAAGAATATAGGTGTCAATGGACCAGGTTTGGGTTGAAAGCAATCTAAATTAAAATGAATTTGAACATATTGAACGGTCTAGACATTAAATTGAACCAGTCCAAAATATTCATTGAATTGGATTGGACCTGATCATTTGTAGTAGACTCATTTTAGATTGGATCAGATTGGACCAAATCCAATCCAATTGACACCCGTAGCTGCATGAATCCTGTTTCGTCATTTCATTCTATTCGGTCTTATATCAGTCATTAAAGCCATAAAGCACAAAAAATGCAGTCAATTTATGATATCAAGACAAGAGATTGAGCCTAATTTGGCCACTCAATTAGCTGACCCGAGCTAAGAGCCTAAGACATTGTAAGAATGGAGTTTGGATAGGGGATTAGGAATGGCAACAGGGCGGGGCGGGGACGGGGAGCCTCTCTCCATCCCTGTCCCCGCGAAAATCCTTATCCCCGTCCCCATCTTATCCCCATCCCCATCCCCATAGGAATCCATTCCCTGTGATTCTTTATAATGCTAATCATTTTGTTTTTGTTTCTTATTTTATTTAAAAAATAAAAATAAAATAATTAACATTTACAATCGAATTAGAAAATATTCAACCATATTTTTAAAAATACTAATATATAGATGTATGTTTACATATTTACATATATAACGTATGTATACATATATATTAGTGGGGATCCCACAAAGCGAGGATCGGGGTCCCCGCGGGGTGGGGAGTGCTCTCTCCGCCCCGCTAACAAGGATGAAAATTTTCTTATTCCTGTCCCTACGGGGAAAATCATCCTCATTCTTGCCTCATTCGAAACGGATCTCCACGGAAATCAAAGAAATGAAAAAAATTGCCATCCCTATAAGGGATTGAAGGGCAATGGAAATGGAGGTGAAGATAGGTGAGTTGACATGACAAACTAACAAGCAAGAGACTTTATCGAAAATTTTGTAAGAAATGTGTGTCGTGGACGTGTCAGCAAACAATTAATATTGCACGTGGCAGCTTAAATAAAAGTGGGCCCAAAGGGCATTGCGTGTCTAACCAGATTACCTTTCTCTCATTACAACCCAATTTCAGCCCAGCCCAGCCCAACATAAAACCCATTTATTATGGTAATTTTTAGGGAAAATTACCGTTAGGTAATAGGGTACCCTATATATTTTGGAGATAGGGATACTTGGATGCCTAATTTTGAAGTATTACCTTCAACTTTTAAAAATCAATACTCAAAACTAACTTAAACCAAGCTGTTCATATACTAGCCTACACCACATGTAAAGGTCGGATGGTTATAAAATATTGATTGGTGTACAGTACTGAATTTATTGAATTGGTTTGGGAGAATAATCAAATTCTAGTGCAAGATCAGTCTAGTAAAATTCGAAAAAAAAAATAGGTTGTGTTTGGAAACAATGTAAATAAGTGTGAATACAAATATGTAGATTGTAAAACGGTTTATATAAATTGTAAAATTGGATTACTTTTGCAGTGGCAAATTTATCTTCTTACCAAACAGACTTTTAGCTGTAATGGATGCAAACATGAATTTTAATAAAGCATATGTTCTTTTTTTTTTATCAAAAATCCACTTGAATGTAAATTTACTTCTTTTTTATTGATATATTTTTATATCTTATTATTAATGTAAATATGCATTGGTCTGTCATTTGTCAATGCATAAATGTAATATTATCAAACACAGACAAAAATGAATCAGAGTGCAAATTTACCTTGAACCGGGATTTACACTTCGTTTGCATCGTTTCCAAACACAAACTTAGTAAAACTGTGTCATATTAAAACATCTTAAAAGCTAATTATGATGAAAGGTTGTTGTTTTGTAAGTATCTCGTTGGAGTAAGTTAGTCAATAGGATAATTGATCCTTGCATTCTTATGTCGTTATAGGCCATATTATAAGTGAATTTTTATTTTAAAGTATAAGTTAGTTAGATAATTGATACTTTCCTAGATGATGGATAAATTGCTTACCCACTCATATACCTGTTCATGGGCCGGGTGGCCCGACGGCTTGGCCCTCGGACGGGCTTCAACAAGCTTTTTGGCCCGTGGGCTTAACCTCGGGCCAAAAAGCCCAGCCCACATAAAATTCGAGCCGGGCTCGGGCTTTGACAAAATAGCCCGACCCGGCCCAACCTATAGTTAAACCTAAGTAAAAACCCTATGTGATGTCCATTTGAATAAATTTTTTGATTTAAGAAGGTTGTTGATTCACTTGTAGGCCCATTGTTCATTTAAATAGGGGAAAAAAACATCTGAATTAAAATAGATAATGTCCATTTGAATAGGGAAAATTTTGAATTTTTTTATTAGGTCGGGCTTTGGGCCCAAGTTGTAGGCCCGTTGGTCGGGCCGGACTCAGGCTCGGGCCTAACATTTTTCTGTTAATAAAGAGTAAAAGCCCGGCCTGGCCCATGAATAGGTCTACCCACTCATGGTGATAAAATCAATCATGTTGTAATTATTAAGGTCTTGTTTGGCATCAATCTTTTAGAAAAATGATGGATTTTGAGAATTTCGATCCTGAGAATCATGATCGTCTTGTTTGGTAGGAATATCGAAACCGACCAAAGGAATGAGGAAAATAGGTGAGAGAATGAGGGAAGTGGGCCGTTGCAAGTTCGGCGATGACAGAGGTTGTCAAAACTGGGAAGAAGACAACTCTACGCAAATTGGGGCCTTTTCATGAAGTTATGTGTTTGTTGTAGCACATTTTACTGAAGTGCCCTCTCTCATGTGGCTTCCTGTCGCTCGTGTTCGTTATTTAGAGATTAGCATGGCGAGAATTGGGTAGAGTGAGAATCGTGTTTTCTGATAAGTGAACTTTTTCACTTCTTAGAATCTCGTTTTTTCATCCCGTTTCGAATGAGATTCAGTCATTAGGTTACACCAAACGTGATTCTCATTCTAAGAATCACCAGAATTGATAGAATCACTCCCAATGAGTGATGCCAAACGGGGCCTAAAAGGGGGATTTTGGGTAGAAAAATACTCAAAATAGGATCATTCTTTCATTGAATTGGAAAAGTTTGAACCATTCAGAGTCAACACTTGATTGTTAACCTATGTTTGGTTGCAGTGCAAATCTATTTGCACTAGCATAAATGCATGGGAGTACAAATGTAAAAAATGCAAATTCTTGTTTAATTTTGTATTGGATTTTACTCTATTCTATTTCATATCTTAATTTATTTCTTTTGTACTGCAATCAAATAAAATAAGCTAAAATTTGAAACAAAAATAGGTCAGAATTTACACTCAAATCATTTGTACTACCATGGTTTTGTATGAATGCACGTTTATTTGCATTGCAATCAAACACAGCCTTAACAATGAAAATTCGTGAGGAGTCTTGATGGATGAACGCTCTTGCTGTTCCAGTATCATGTCTTTCCGGTAGTAAGTATAGATTTTCCCATACAGAAAACACCCTTTCAATGGTGAGGCTTTACAATCGGGTCTTGTAGGACGAGCTTTCATCATCGAATGAGCCATGTTGGGCCATCGACAGACAGTTATGATGCAGAAATCAAAGCCCTAATCCAAAGGCTAAAAGCAGCCAAACAGATGGGAATATCAAAGTTAAAGATTCACTATGACTCTTTGCAGCTGATCAAGTTTTTGCAAGCTAGAAGCCAATCAATAAAGTGGATCGAACATCTACATAGATCTCAATTAACAAAGCTCCTATCCACTTTTGAGAAACTTGATTTTGTACATATAACAAGGTAGTTAAACCTATCTAGCATGCAAAGGGAGGTTAACCCAGCACTATCTACCAATGTACAGTTATCTATGCCTTTTGGTCCAACTGCAAACTGCCAAATGTCAATACCCATTAGCAATGCCGAGAAGGGGATACCACCACCAGAGCCCACAGCTCACAGCCACAGCCCACAGGTATGTCCCGTGAGAGCGTTCTCGTCTGAGCTATATCACCCTGGACTCTAACCCCGAGCTGTAATTCTGTCGACCCCAGTGACTCGGTGATGACATTTTCATCCTATCAGTCAGACAGTCAAATACAAACGAGTAAGAGGATGCTTTTCGCAGAGGCCCATGGTAATTGGTATCCTTTTTTATCCTATTTACTTTTGCTGTGGGACTTTCTGTGGCGGAAAAAGGGCAATCTCGTCACATGAAAATGCCGTACTATGTTTCCCGTTTCTGATTACTCCGCCATGATAGGAAGCTAGGAAGAAGAAGAAGAAGCAGAAGAAGGGTATATCATAAATCTCTCACGTTTCAGTTTCAGGTGGAAAAACGCCTTGAGAAATTCTCTAATGGTGGTGACTGAATCTAATATCTTTAGGGTGTTGTCTTTTTTCACTGGTTAACGAAGAGACTCATCAACTCCTACAACCAAGATCTCACCTTTCTCTCATCGGAAGCTGTTAATTAATGAGGTATATTTGCCCATCTAGTTTGGGCACCTTTGGAGTTTTTATTCCTACTCAGAATGGTCTCTTGGTCGTTTCCTGATTTCTTTCTGTCAAATCTTTTCCTTGTAATTTTTCTTTTTCCTCAGAGTTTATGTACCTAGTTTTTGTTATTGCTCCTTGAAGGTCAACGGTATTATATGTATTCTTGTTTGATGCACTGTTGAAGCTGCAACTGATGAGCTTAGTGATTTAGCTGTTGGACCATCTGCCTTTTTTTAACCTTTGATGTGTATACAGTTTGGGTTCCATCATCCATGTTGACGTAGGTGTTGAATGTGGGATAATAAATACAGTACATCCATTTTGGGGATAACGTAACCACAAATCCCATTGGTTCTTTAAGGATATTTCAGAGTAAATCGGGGTTCTGGGTATTAATTCTCACACTTTCATATCAAAATTTTTATTAAGCTTTTAATCCCTTGTGGGCATTAATCCATAAATCATTGAAATCATCCAAATCATGCACTTGATGCACAATTGCTATGTAATCCATGCGTATTTCCTTGTAAAAATCATTTGGATAAATACAGAGCTTGAATTTGGTGATTTTAGGGCCAAGATTGTTGAGGTATATACTATATAGTGAGGTTATTGAGGGAAAATAGTTTAAGGTACCTTCAAGTTAGTTTAAGAGGGTTTTATAATCCTTTTTCTTGCTATGTTCTTTAATTTGCAGGGCTTATGACTTCTCTAATGCAAGAAGAGCATGCGCAAAATTACTATAACAAGACCCATAAATTCAAATAAATTATTTGTAATGTGTGTACTTGAAGAAGCCTGCAGGTTACACAAGGCAGAATTTCAATTCACATCATTTTGTACCTAGGTGGACTTCCATCTGCCGGGAAGTTCTACAGTCATACTAAAAGAAGACAGATAATCCCAATGGAAGAATTACCGGCATCATTTCTTCATAAGGATATTCCTCTACCGGTCTCTTCTCATAATGCTGCTAGACTTAACACAGATGGGTCTGTGAATTCTTTCTCCAAGGGATTTGGTTTGTCAGGTCTGAAGAAGAGAGGTCATGGAAGTCGTTCATGGATAAGGATTGATCGTAATGGGAACTCAAAGATTTTGGATCTTGATAAAACCACGATAATGAGACGTTGTTCACTTCCTGGCAGAGATCTTCGGCTTTTGGATCCTTTGTTCATATATCCTTCTACAATATTAGGCCGGGAAAAGGCAATTGTTGTCAGTCTCGAGCAGATTAGATGTATAATCACAGCTGATGAGGTTATTCTGATGAATTCCTTAGATGGTTGTGTTGTGCAATATGAATCAGAACTTTGCAAGCGACTTCAGATAAGCAAAGATCAAATTGGTAATTTCCCACTGTTCTCTAATAATTCCAGTCCTTTTCCCTTACATAGTTTAGGTGAGCTTTCATTATTGAGAAAGCTTCACTGATTTAAAAATGCATTTATAGATGCAAGCATGGCATGATCACCTACCAGATTAATGCTTATTTAAGTTTCACTAGGCAACTACCCCAATAAATGGATGTATGAGGGAAGAATAAAAATTTATCTATGACAGTTACCTTTGGTTTTAAGTTCTATACATATTTTGAATTTCTTTAAATATATATTGCTTGATGAAATGGTTAAATCTCGGGATGACAAGTTTGAGAGTGCATGTTCAAATCTAAGATCGGCTGCTTTGTGGAAAAAAATGTCAAAAGTTAGGTCAGTATCCAGTCCAACCTGCCAAAGACCCCATATAGCTGGATGACCTGCCTAATAAAAAGAAAATGAAGATGTAAACAGAAACTGGCAATACAACATGAAGTAAAAAATGCATCAAGCCACCAATGAATTATCATTGCATCTATATTATCCCTTCTCTTCGGTAAATAAACAATCAACAATGATTAGTCTCATCCTCTTGGTTCAAAATTATTGAATTATATATGATACTAAGACTAGTGACTGACATTAATCTTATAAAATCCCTTTTTTTCTGATAATGAATCTTAGAAGATGATATCAGTAAATGGTTTACATTTTCCTGATTCCTAAGTATCTAGACCAGAATCATCTGCCAAAGAGTGTGCTCTTTCTTTCTTCCCAAAGAAAAATCAATTTCCATGAAAGCACTCAGCTCTTGCATCCAATGGCTTATAGATTTATTTTGTGCAAGGCAGGGAAACTTTCCAATAGACAATGTAGGTCAAGATTCAAGAGTATCTGATGGTCTTGGGCTTGTCCTTGAGCTCTATCCTGTTATTTTTCCTATACAGGTTACAGTCTCCTGAATTCCTTGGTTGAGTTATCTTACACGGTTTTCTATAGCTTGCATTTATGCTGGTTGTAACCTTCTTTGTAGAATCTAGACTAACATCTTATTTACTACTAAGTTTTTACATTTCACTTAGTACTGAAGATCTTTCGACTTTCTAAAATAGTAGTCATCCTAGAAATTATCTGTAACTCATTTTAAGGAATACAGACCTAATCTCGTTTTTAATGTCACCTTATGACTTGTGACCACCTTTTACTTGGTTAAATTTTGGAAATTTTATTTGAATTTGGACATTAAGAAAACTTAGTTATTTCCATCTTTTGTGATTTTGTGGTATATGAAAGTGATTGCTCTCATTAGTTTGAACATTATAGTTTTTGTAGCTCATTCTTATTATAAATGGACAATGTTTGAGAAGCTTACATATTGTGTTGATTCGATTCAGATGATCTGCCTTTCGAATTCAGGGCACTGGAGCTAGCTTTGGAATTAACATGCATGTCTCTTGATGCTCAGGTATATATGCAACAGTCATAGCCCCAGTCACCTATTGTGGTGTTTAGTAGCAGATATTTTCTTTGGGCATATTTTGTACCATTTTTTCCTAAAAAATACTTAACTGCTGAGGTACTTGTTATCAACTTAAAAGAGCTCATTGATCCAAAATGAGAGACATGTTTTTCAGAGCATAGAATTCAATCAGTTAGGTGATAAAAAAGAGGGTAAGTAGAGGGTTTGGGCATGTGCATAGAAGACCATTTACTGCACCAATAAGGAGAGATCTGATGCAAGTTGATTGATTTAGAAGGCTAGAAGCTAGAAGAAGACAATAAATAAGTTCTCTTTCACTGCAGAAATCTGATCAAGACACATCCGCTCTACTCATGTTTTCATGCTTTATGATATGAATTATAAGATTCTCCAAAACATGGGTAGTGTAGCCATATTTTGATTGGCCTGTGGATGGAGATCCTGCAGAATTGCTCAGCAAAAGCAACACTGAAAGGGACATGAGTTGAGGTAGTGAAAAGGATCTGAGGATTCATGATTTGACAGAGGATGTGGACCTTGATAAAGTGAAATCAGAAACAAGATCCATGTATCTTAACCTATATGATTGAGATAAGGTTTTGTTGAGTTCTTTAAGGACCCTGATATAATTCCTTTATGATTATAACTCATCAGAGGATGACAATTTTTTCCTTTAAGAAGATACACATGGTTAAAGAAAGAAATGAAAAACCAGTGCAATTACCTACCGATTCTTTTCTTTTTTCTTTTTTTTTTTCCTTTTCTTGTATTCAATTCTAAACAAACCAGCAGCACAAGGAGATGAGATAGAGATCGGAGATGGAATCTGAAAAGAGAGTTAGACGAAGTCATTTTAAGAGAAGAAATTTCTTGGAGACAGAAATCTAGATGTAAGTGGATTAAGGAAGGAGATGAGAACACTAAATTTTTTCATGACCTAGCCAATGGAAGGAGAAGGAAAAACCTAGTGTCCAAACTGGAAGTGGATGGAATAGTCTTTGATACCCAAGAGAGGATAGCCAATTGTTTTGTTGACCATTTCAAATCCATTTTGAGGAGACCCCTAAGACCTAGTGTGGAGTTGGACGGTGTGATCTGGCAGAGGCTTCCAAAAGAGAGTAGAAGCTAGCTGGAAAGGAATTTTGAGGAGAAAGAAATTAGAAAAGCCGTTTTTTCCATGAAGAAAGAGGCCAAGCATCCAAAGGACTTTAGACCTATCAATTTGGTGACTAGTCACAAGATTGTGGCTAAGGTCTTATCTTTGAGGATAAAAAAGGTACTTCCTTGTCTTATCAGCCAAGTGCAATGAGCTTTTGTTCAAGGGAGACAAATTGTAGATCAAATTCTAATAGCAAATGAATGTGTGGAGGAGATGAAGAGATTGGGGCGTCAAGGTTATGCTTATAAACTAGATCTTGAAAAGGCCTATGACTTAGTGGATTGGGGATTCTTATCACTCGTGCTTAGGAAGTATGGGTTTGGGGATAAATGGTGCAAATGGATAAACGATTGCCTTTCTTCCAATTGCCATTATTCCATCATAGTCAACGGGGTAGTTATTGATTTTTTCCCAACTAGTAGGGATCTGAGACAAGGTGATCTCATGTCACATTTCCTTTTCACTTTAGTCGCCGATGCTTTTAGTAGACTCCTCTCAGAAGCGGATAGAGCCGGATCTCTAAGAAGGTAGAGAATAGGTAGAGATAGAGTTTTAGTAACCCATCTCCAATTTGGAGATGACATAATGATCTTTTGTGAAGGTTGTGATTTGATGGAGGTAAGGAATCTGAAGGATTTAATAATTCACTTTGAGAGGGTCTCAAATTTGAAGGTAAATTTTGAGAAGAGTTGTGTTGTGGGAGTTCATTTGAACAGTGTTCTTTAATAATTCACTTGCTCTCAGTGGCCTCTATCCTACCTAGGACTTCTATTAGGTGCAAATCCAAAGGAAAGTAGATGTTGGAACCCGATGGCAGAAAAAATTCGAAAAAAGATTGGTAGCTTGGAAGAAAAACTATATTTTTGTGGGAGGTAGAGTCAACTTTAGCCAACTTGCCTTTATACTTGTTGTTAGTCTTTAGAATTCCTAAAAGGGAGGCAAAGAGGTTGGAAACACTAATGAGGGATTTCTTATGGGAACCTGGAGAAGAGAAAAAAGATCACTTGATTAGGTGGGAGGTGGTGAGTCAGAGCAAAAAAGGAGGCCTAGGCTTAGGGAATGTGGTGAGTAAGAATGAGGCTCTTTTAGGTAAGTGGCTTTGGAGGTGGCCCCTGGAGAGGGAGAGGTTGTGGCATGAAGTAGTGAAAAGTATCAATGGTTGTTCTGAATCAGGTTGGGATGCGGGGGTATCCCGAAGGGCTTTGCTCACAACACCTTGGAAGGCTATCTCTGGCATTGAAACTCCATTCTTTTTCGGGAAGATACTTGGGTGAGCACTCAACTCCTAAAAGACCGTTTCCCTTCTCTCTATTCCATCTCCCTCTTTAAAAAGAAACCCATTTCATGGTTCCTTCTCCCCCCGGTTTGCCCTTTGACTTTAAACTGGGATTTTGGGTTTCGAAGAGGGTTAAGGGATGAAGAATTTCTTTGTGTTTTAGAGCTATTGTTGCTTCTAGATTCGGTGTGTTTGGACCCCACTAACCCGGATAAAAGAATCTAGGCCCTAACCCCTGTTGGCTCCTTCACTTGTGCATCTTTCTTTAAAACCCTTTGCTCTAACCCCTCCTTTCAGGTCTTCCCTATTAAAGAGGTTTGGTCAAGGCCAATACCCCCCAAAATAGCAGTGTTCTGTTGGGAAGCCTATTATGGTAAGATCAATACTATGGAAAACTTGCAAAAGAAGAAACCTTTTATGTGATGTCCCCAAATTGGTGCTTTATGTGTAAAGTGAAGGGTGAGGACTGTAACCATTTGTTGATACTGTGCTCCTTTGCTGCCAATATTTGGAACTGGGTTGTTTCCCTATTTGGGTGCAGGTGGAACTTGCCCTCTGAAGTAAAGCTGCTGTTCACTTCGGCTGCTTTTGGGAGATTGACAAAAAAGAGGGAAGCTAATGTGGAAATGTATCAAAGCTGCTACCTTGTGGATTTTATGGGAGGAGAGAAATGCTATAATATTTCAAGAAAAGGAAAGAAGTCTTGCTGAAATCAAGGAATGCATATTGACAAGGACAATCTCATGGTTAAAATCTTCACATTTGTTGGCAGATTTCTCCTTTGATGACTTAAGGAGAAACTAGGCAGTAGTGGCTTCTACAGTCTCCACCAAGAACAAATCACAAGTTGAATGGGAACCCCCACCGGATGGAGTGGTAAAATTGAATTTTGATGGCAGCTGCCAAGGTAACCCAGGGCCATTCGGAATTGGTGGGATTCTGAGAGACAAAGACAGCAATATGTTGTCTCTATTTTCAGGACCAGTGGGTGAAGGTGATTCTGTAAGGGCAGAGTTACTAGCAGCGGTACAAGGTATATAGATGGCTAGTCAATTTGGAGTGAACAATTTGTTAGTAGAAGGGGATTCCAAGCATGGTTCAAAGTATCGATACGATACGCCCGATACGGGGCGTATTGTATCGTATCTTTTGAAAAAGATACGGTCCGAAACGCTTGTTTCCAGGTGTTTCGGACCCCAATTTTTTTTAATAATAAAAAGCATGCTAAAAGCTTCCCAAAAAACCAAAATGTGAAAAAAAAGACAAAAAAAAAAGTTTCGGCCGTTTCTAAGTACCGATACGATATGACCGAAACTTGTATCGTATCAATACTTTGAACCTTGATTCCAAGGTAGTAGTGGGCTGGCTGAATAGCCCAGATACAGCTTGTTGGGGCTACAGGGATCTGTTAAAGAAAGTTAAATGGATGACAAGAAATATGACTGTCAAGTTTTAGTGGGTCAGCAGATCAGCAAATGCAATGGCTGATTCTCTGGCCAAGCAAGAGGTGTCAAGGGGAGATCTGTTTTGGGCTACTTTGTAATTTGTGTTTCAGGCTTGGGCATGTTTATGTGCATATGATTCAGTCCTCGGGGGAGGTAACATCTCGTGCCTCCTCCTAGGCTGATTGTATTTTCGTTATTTGAATTAATAAAGTTATTCTCATTTATCAAAAAAAAATTGCTCAACTTTGTTTAAGCGACAGCTGTGAGTAGAAATACTTGCTTCTGAAACTAGGGATTCATGTTGCACTATTATGGACATTGTATAGCAATAGACTAAAAGGACCATTACCCAATGTTAGCCCTCTCTATCCAGGTTCTTGGGAGGGGGTGGACTACTGGACATGGACTTAACTGTTGGCATTTTTGGCCCTCGCTATCCACATTTTCATGCTTGTCAGCCCAAGTTATACGGTTTCACCATTGCATTAAGCAATAACCCTCTTTTATGGCAGTAGATTCTTTTTCTTTTTTTTGATAATTAGATTCCTTTTATTAAAAAAACGTGCATTGTATGTGACACTCATTTTGGGAAGACTGGTCATGGACCTACTGTTGCCATTTTTGCACAAAGCAACCAATCTCAGACTCAAACACACGTTTTCATGCTTGTCAGCCCAAGCTTTTACCATTGAACCAAGCAATAACCCGATTTTATGGCAGTAGATTCTTTTTATTTATTTTGATAAGTATTCCTTTTATTAAAAGAAAAAGTGCAATGCATGTGAAACTCATTTTGACTTCCCTTGTTGATTCAAATATTGCTTATTAGCTTGCTCAGTTTTAGTCATTGTATTTAATATAATAACTACATAGTTTTAATGCACATATTCTTGTTGTGTTTTTCCAAATCCTATGAAATAATCAGTCGTCCTAGTTTAGTCTCTCTGAACCTTTGTTTTTTTCCTAGTTATATGTTTGCATTGAAATGTCTTTTTTCTTGAGCCATTGTAACTGAACTGGAACTTGCGTTTGATTTTACATAAATCAAAGACCATGAACTTCCCTGCAGCCCTTAATTGTATGTACCTCCATCACTTTGATTGTGTAACAGGTAAGAGAATTGGAAATGGAGGTATATCCAGTTCTAGATGAACTGGTATCATCTGTTAGCACTCTAAATCTTGAACGTGTTCGTAGACTCAAAGGCCATCTCCTTGCATTGACTCGTCGAGTTCAGAAGGTGCAGTAACCAAATCCAACATAACCTCCCAGTATCATGTTTTTCAACTACAATTTGCCTTTTGATATTTTAGCTTTTAGAGTGGCTTTCCAGGTCCGTGATGAAATTGAACAACTCATGGATGATGATGGGGACATGGCTGAGATGTATCTGACAGAGAAAAAAGAGAGAATGGAGGCTTACTCCTCATCTGAGCAATATTTCCAGAATAACGTCTTAGTTGGCGCTGGGATGATGTCAAAATCTGCACCAGTTTCACCTGTTGACTCATCCAGTGGGGCTCATAGACTGGAGAGAGCTCTGAGCAGTATCTTAAGCTCAAGCAAACATGGAAGCTTATTGGGTTCATCTAATAATGGAGAAAGTATTGTAGAGCTTGAAATGCTGCTTGAAGCATATTTCGTTGTTATAGACAATACCCTGAATAAACTTTTATCGGTAAGAGACAGTGCTCCACTTTATAATGTAATATAACTCCACCTTTTTCCTTGTTAGATAGCTCTTACAGTTGTTAATATGCCTCTTTCAGTAACTATTGCATGAAAATATGCCTCAAAACCGTATTTCTTGAACAAATCAATAGGGATACTAGGATTTCACTATTGATGATAGCAAAATATAATTAATTTTTTTCCTTTTTCTTGTGTTATAGCTCAAAGAATACGTTGATGACACTGAAGACTTCATCAACATTAAACTGGTAAGGACAATCCCCTTTAAAGAAGAGCTACAATGGCATCAAAGAAAACTAATCTACTTCCCATGTTAAACAGGGCAATGTTCAGAACCAGCTGATACAATTCGAGTTGCTTCTCACAGCAGCTACCTTTGTGACTACAATTTTTGCAGTTGTCACAGGAATATTTGGAATGAACTTTAAACCTACAATTTTTGATTATCCATCTGCCTTCAATTGGGTCCTGATTTTAACTGGAGTTGCCACTGGGATTATATACTTTTCTTTCTTGTTGTATTTCAAGCACAAGAGAGTATTTCCTTTATGAAAGTGTAGAACCAATATACCACATGAAAATAAATAACAAGATTCTTCAGTGCAATCTCATATTTTCTTGCTGACATTTCTGCATGATGGATTTCACTAATGAAGTGTTACAATGATACAATGAGGTCATCCTCATGTCAAGTGTCCATTCCACTCAACACCTACAGTTTCTGATATGAACTGTTGGATTCAACTTGGGCATGCTACCTCTACCTGCCTCAGGAAATCCTGTCACCATGGTGATTCAACTGGCATGGTTAATTAATGTTTCTGCCATCCAAGCTCGTAAGAACTCACGATCAATGATTTTCTTAGAAAATGCTATTTAGCTGCTCACTCAGGCAAAAACATTTCCCAGGTTCATTTTTCTGCTACTACCTGTTCGCAATGAAAGTGACAGTGGAGATAAATATCTTTTCTTACGCAATTTTTAAACATTTCAGTGAACTTATTAGCAATTATGCTCTTAAGTTCCACAACGAATTAAAATCCTTATTAAACTACTCACTCAAGTAATATAAAACCAAAAATGAATTCATTCCTTGAAATGGTTATTATGCTTTGCGTACAAGGCATGGTAAAAAAAATTGGATAGGCATCAAGAATGGAGAAACAAAAAACTTTGAGCTTACATGTAATTCTATTTGGGTGATATGGTTGATCATCTTTATAAATTCTTTCAGTAGGAACCTCTTAAAGTACAAATTGAATTCCCTATTAAAAAAATATAAGAAGGAAATGAAGTAGGCCCTATTTGAAACCAAATTATGAGACTCCACTTTGACATCCATTACCAACGTCCCAATTTTCTTACAAAACAAAATCAATCAACATTTTGATAGATGAACTATATTTTTCTTAAACTTCCACTTTTTTTTTTTTGATAATTTGGGAGATTACAAGGAAACTAAGACAAGCGAGGGAGAGACCTCCTTGCCAAGTATAACAAAGAAATAAAATTAAAACCTTTTCTGATGACCCTTGTTTGCTAGCCAATCCGCTGCATGATTTCCTTCCTGACAAGTATGTTAGTACATGATACTGCTAGGAAGCCTTTGAAAAATACGAGACTTCGGGTGGGCTGGGTTAAGCATTTGCTATATTTTGAATAGGCCTGGACCCTAAGCGAAGACTGGTGTAGTTGAAGTTCTTCAATTTGGGCATCCCAGCTTGCACCCTTAGCTTCAAGTGCCTTGCATAAAATGAAAATGTTACTTATCTAATCATCATCATCATTTAAGCCTTGTTCATTCTATTCTATTCTACCATTCTGTTTGGTCATACATCTCTTGATTGCTCAACACTATGGGTGGTATTGTTTTTCTTGCTGTGATTTTATAAGTGACATCTTACTTGATCTCTCCCCTATCATAGTTAATCAAACCAAGGTAATAGAAGATGTCACATTGAACCTCACTTAGGCTATGTTTGGTTCTGTGGATGCTTATTGAAAAAACACCACCACATCAGTGCCACATAGGCATTGGTGTTTATTTTGCATGAAACCATTGTTTGATTTTAACATTTATCACATAAATGTTGAAAAACATAAATGCTTGGATTGGTGTATGAGGCATTAGGAAAAACTTCAACACTCCAGCATTTGTTGAAATGAAATACTTATGTAGTATACTTTATAAGATGTTAAACTAAGATGAAAAGTAACTTTATGGGGTGTTAATTTGAGGTAGAAAGTAACTTTATAGGGTGTTACCAGAAATGCTCATGAAACATCCAACCAAACAACAAAAGCAATAAACATTTAAAATGGTAATTTTCAAATAACGTTTAAAGCAATAAACACCCCACCTATAAACGCCCACGGAACCAAACATATACTTAGTCTATGATCCTTGAGTGTGCCCTGATTTGCATTTTTTATTACTAAATCTACATTGCAGATATTCTTCTCGGGTCCTACTCATTTTAAAACCTCTTATTTTGAAGGTATTCAACCACAAATCTAATTTTACATTTAGTCCATTAATTTCTTCCATTGATATAATGTTATCAACAAACAAAATGAGGTTAAGTGTGACATAACGAGATGGGGTTAAGAGTTCAAAACTTCAACTATTATTTCTCTATTTTTTTCATTTGGTTTCCAAATGCAGGACCCCACACCTCTCTAATATCTTCGCCAAAATTGGAAATCTAGCATGTGGTAGTTGAATTCAAGATCAAGAATGTATAAAAGTTCTAGTAATACTTGAAAAGTGTTGAAGATATTCAATCCAATATGATGAAGTTTCATTTTTTCACTAAATGATACAAGTAACTTTTCAAATACATGGAAGTTAATGGGGAGGGATATTTATTTTCAGTATTTGTACTAAAGCCTGAGCAAGATTGAAAATATTGAATGTAATGGATAACATTAGGAATTGCTTGAGAATGAGCCACACAAATGAAACAGATTAAATAAATTGGGAGATGCATAGAGAATAGAAGGGAAAAAACAAAGAAATAAGGTACATAATTATTTGATAATGAAATAAATCCACTCAGAAGGAATCGTATTTTCACAGGTAGAATTTAAATTTACAATTTCATGATTCGTTTTCTGCTTCCCAATACAAGCATTTGACTCATCCTCATAGGTATTACTTAATAATCATATCAGAGAACAGAGCACTACCAGCTTCATAGGTTCCTTTGCATTCTTCAATAATGTACATTTTTCATGGAAACTGTCAATGGAGTTATGGTCGGTTAAAATGGCGGTATAGATTCCAGTCCCAGGACACTTTATTTCCAGGTGAGGTTCCAGATAAAATATGATAATAGTTTGACCATTTCAATTATCAATCTTTTCATGTCCAGGAAATTCTTTTTTTAATCAATTTAGTAAAGCAACAAAGGATGCTTTTATAAGAAATGAAAAAGGGAACAAGCAGGGAAAAGGGATTAGTCTCTCCAAACAGAACAAAGAGGTAATGATGTTGAGTATGGACTGCAAATATCATTGGTAAATGTTGCTAAGATTCATGTCAGCAACTCAGCATGAAGTAACAACGAATCAAAGGATGTATGAATTATGATCCAATGCAGGTCCCTGAGTTTTACTTACCACAGTTGACAATTACTGCTATAGTCCATCCCAACCAACAACTAAAGCTAAGTGGGTTGGCTAATCTGCTATTTATTAAATAGAGAACATTATATTAGTATCTTCAACACTATACTTAAAAATCCATGGCTGTTATTTATTTATTAAATAGAGAACATTTGTACATACGATCCGAAAGAAATGATGGTAAATAACAAGTTTATGAAACTATTACATTTTTCACCCTTCAGACATGATCGAACCAAGGTTCAAAATTTCAATACAATATGCTACATATCAAGTGTATCGTATCGTACCTTTGTAAGGACCAAAACACCTATTTTAAGGCATTTTAAGAAAACCTTTGCTTTAATAATTAAATAATATAAAAAATGGCCTCCCTCTCAAATTTTGGGAAAAAAAAAACAAAAACTAAAAAAAAATGCAGGGTCAAAGTATCAACACACCCGTTCCAGCAAATTAGGGTCATGGGGTGTATCGATATTTTGAACCTTGGTCAGAACCATGAAAAGATACTAAAAGACAGTTGGGCATTTCTTTTGATGTGTTTGTTGAAGGCATTTTTTTAATCCAAATAATATTTAAATAAATTAGAACTTAAATAAGTGGGTTGGCTAATCTGCTAGCCAAATCATTAAAACTATAGAAAAGTATCCCGTATGGGAGTTCCCCCTCTTTAAGTGAGGAGTTCTCTCTTCAAGTGGGGAGTTCCCTCTCTTTAAGTGGGAGGGACAGGTGTCCACCTAGGAGGAGGAGGTAGTTACATAACTACCCCACTCCCTATTTAAGCTCCTTAAGGGAAAGATAGAAACACATACACACGGAGAGACTCTTCGAAGAAAATTTTCACAAGAGATTCTTAAGAAAAGCAAAGATAAGGAGAGAAGAAAAGAGAAGTGCTCAAAGGAGGGAAAGGAAGGAAAAGCCTCTATAATACAGGTAGAAAAAAGAAAGTCATCTCTGTGAATACTTCCTATTTATGTCTTCTGCTGTGTATTCTTCTTCCTCTCTCTTTTATTTTCAATTTTGAGAAAGAAAATAGAGGGAAATAAACCATCTATAACCAGGTGCCCCTACTTGGTTGATCATGGTCCCTCTTTCAAGACAATATTAGGGATTAAACCATCTACAGTCTAAATCTCGAAGACTGATTATGGCTCCCTTCAAATGAAAATGAAGAGTAGGGGGGAATAAACCATCTACAACCAGGTGCTTCTACTTGGTTGATTATGGTCCCTCTTTCAAGACAAAGTTAGGGAGTAAACCATCTACAGTCTAAATCTCAAAGGCTGATTATGGTTCCCTTCAAATGAAAATGAAGAGYAGAGGGATGAAAATCGTCTACAATCAAATATTCAATTTGATTGACTATGGTTCCCTTTTTGTATGCAAAATTCCAAGGATTAAGACTGTCTACAATCAGAATTTCATCTGATTGACTACAACTTATTATGAAGAAAGGAGTGAGAAGGAAATTTTCTTTGTATTAAAAAGAAAAGAGAAATGTATTGCTGTATAGTTTCTCAATTGTATTTTCTTTTTCTTTCTTCTCATTCTTGTACACTTGATGTAAAAGAAAAGCAAACGAAAAGTTCTTTTTAAATATCCTATTGTTCTTTTCTTTTGTTCTATGCGTTCTTTTTAAATATCCTACTTTCTTGTGGAGATGTAATTAAGGGGATTCCATATGATTCCCTGAATGGGCCTTACCCAAAATAATAAAAACTCAATCACTTGATTGAGTGAATTATGTTGCATGAGAATTTATTAAAATTTTCACACCAACAGCGTCTCACCTTGTTTGTTGGGCAAAGAAAATTAAGAGTTGTATAAACTCATATACTAGCATTTCTATATCTGTTTGAATTCATTTCAAGTTATCTGGCTCTATATTTTCATCCATTTCTACTTATCTGTATCTTTTATTGGCCTTTTCTTTTTTATTTTCAGTAGGAAAACCTAATCTACTGTCAACAGCATCAACT